TGGGACCCCAAATACCCCTATGGGACCCCCAAATATTCCCATGGGACCCCCAAATATTCCCATGGGACCCCAAAGACCCCCATGGGACCCAAAATATCCCCATGGGACCCCCAAACACCCACATGGGACCCCAAATACCCCCATGGGACTCCCAAATATCCCCGTGGGACCCCAAATAAACCCATGGGACCCCCAATACCCCCATGGGACCCCAAATATCCCCATGGGACCCCCAATACCCCCATGGGACCCCCAAATACCCCCATGGGACCCCCAATACCCCCATGGAACCCCCAAATATGATGGGGTCTATGGGGCGGGAGGTGTCAATGATGGGGTCTATGGGGCGGGAGGTATCAGTGATGGGGTCTATGGGGCGGGAGGTGTCAATGATGGGGTCTATGGGGCGGGAGGTGTCAATGATGGGGTCTATGGGGCGGGAGGTATCAGTGATGGGGTCTATGGGGCGGGAGGTGTCAATGATGGGGTCTATGGGGCGGGAGGTGTCAGTGATGGGGTCTATGGGGCGGGAGGTGTCAATGATGGGGTCTATGGGGCGGGAGGTGTCAGTGATGGGGTCTATGGGGCGGGAGGTGTCAATGATGGGGTCTGTGGGGCGGGAGGTGTCAATGACGGGGTCTCTGGGGCGTGGCCATTTGAGGGGCGTGGCCTGTATGCAAATGAGCACCAAAGGCGGGAGCGTCCTTTATTGTCTGGCAACGGGGCTTCCCCCCCTCTGTCCCCGCCCCCTCCCTCTCCTCATTGGCTGCGGTGGCCCCGGGGGGCCCTGTCCGAGGGGCGTGTGGCGGAAGCGCGGCTCTGATTGGCTGCGGGCGGGGGCGGGGTGGCGCGCCGCGCTCCCATTGGCTGCCGCAGCGGGCCGGGGGGGCGTGGCCAAGGAGCGATGGCGGCGGCGCTGCGGGGCCGGGGCCGCGGAGCGGTGAGGGGGGGGGGGAGGGAACGGAGCGGGAACAGCCGCGGGGGGCGGGGCCAGCGCGACCCCTGCCCCCCCCCCCCCGCGCCTCCCATTGAACCCCATTGATCCCCATTGAACCCCATTGATCCCCATTGATCCCCATTGCCCCCCCATTGATCCCCATTGCCCCCCCATTGATCCCCATTGAACCCCATTGCCCCCCATAACTCCCCATTGACCCCCCAGTGCCCCCATATCTCCCCATTGCCCCCAGTGCTCACCATTGCCCCCATTACTCCCATTGAACCCCATTGCCCCCCATATCTCCCCATTGCCCCCAGTGCTCCCATTGCCCCCCAGTGCTTCCCATATCTCCCCATTGCTACCCCATTGTCCCCTATGGCTCCCCATTGCCCCCCATTACTCCCATTGAACCCCATTGACCCCCCAGTGCTCCCCATCTCCCCATTGCCCCCAGTGCTCCCATTGCCCCCCCCAGTCCCCCATATCTCCCCATTGCCCCTCCAGTGCTCCCATTGCCCCCCATATCTCCCCCCCATTACTCCCGTTGCCCCCAGTGCTCCCATTGCCCCCCCAGTGCCCCCATATCTCCCCATTGCCCCCCAGTGCTCACCATTGCCCCCATTACTCCCATTGCCCCCAGTGCTCCCATTGCCCCCCCATTACTCCCGTTGAACCCCATTGCCCCCCATATCTCCCCATTGCCCCCCATTACTCCCATTGAACCCCAGTGCTCACATTGCCCCATCACCCCCAATGTCCCCATTGCCCCCCCAAGTGCTTCCATTGCCCCTCATTGCCCCCCCAGTGCGTTTATTGACCCCACTCCCCCCCATTGCCCCATCACCCCAATAGAACCCCATTACCCCCTATTACGTCCATTGCTCCCATTACCTACCCCCATTGCCCCATTCCCCCCCTTTGCCCATTACCCCCATTGCCCCATTCCCCCCCATTCCTCCTATTGCCCCCATTGCCCAATTCCCCCCCATTGCCCCCATTCCCCCCATTATCCCATTACCCCTCATTGCCCTCATTACCCCCAATTGCCCCCATTCCCCCCAAAACCCATTACCCCCATTGTCCATTCCCCCCATTACTCCCATTGCCCCATTCCCATTATCCCTGATACCCCCATTGCCCCCAATACCCCATTCTCATTTCCCCCATACACCCCATTCCCCCCATTGTCCCCATTACCCCCATACCCATTCCCCCAATACCCCCATACCCCCCATTCCCCCCCATTGCCCCCATACCCATTCCCCCAATACCCCCATACCCCCATTCCCCCCCATTGCCCCCATACCCATTCCCCCCCATACCCCTCATTCCCCCCCATTGCCCCCATTATCCCCATACCCATTCCCCCCCATAAGCCCCATTCCCCCCCATACCCCTCATTCCCCCCATTGCCCCATTCCCCCCATTGCCCCCATTGCCCCATTCCCCCGCATTCCCCCCATTGCCCCATTCCCCCCCATTGCGCCCATTCCCCCCCATACCCCTCATTTCCCCCCATTGCCCCCATTCCCCCCCATTGCCCCCATTGCTCCATTGCCCCATTCCCCCCATACCCCTCATTCCCCCCCATTGCCCCATTCCCCCCCATTGCCCCCCATTGCCCCATTCCCCCGCATTCCCCCCATTGCCCCATTCCCCCCCATTCCCCCCATCCCCCCATTACCCCCCATCCCCCCCATTACCCCCCATCACCCCATTGCTCCCATCCCCCCCCATTGCTCCCATTCCCCCATTGCCCCATTTCCCCCCATTGCCACCATTGACCCCCAATTTCCCCCTATTCCCCCCATTGCCCCATTCCCCCCATTGCCCCTATTCCCCCCCATTGCCCCCATTCCCCCCCATTGCCCCATTCCCCCCATTGCCCCTATTCCCCCCCATTGCCCCCATTCCCCCCCATTGCCCCATTCCCCCCATTGCCCCATTCCCCCCATTGCCCCTATTCCCCCCCATTGCCCCCATTCCCCCCCATTGCCCCCTTCCCGTCTCTCCGCAGCCTCAGGCAATGGCGGTTGGGGGGGGGCAAAGTCCGGACCCGGGGGGGGAGGAGGGAGAAAGGGGGCGGGGCCCGGGAGTCCCCTCCCCCCCCCGAAGCCGCTCCCGGTCACGTGGTAATGATTGACCCTCCCCTCCCCTCCCCCCCCAGCTCCTGGTGCGGCTCCTGAGCCCCCCCCGCAGGAGCGTGAGCCACGTGTTCAGGGTGAGGGGGGAGGGGAGGGGGGGGATGGGGGGGGATGGGGGGGGGATGGGATGGGGGGGATGGGAACTGGGTCAATGTGGGGTCATTGGGGTCAATGTGGGGGCATTGGGGACATTGGGGTCAAGGAGGGGTCACTCGGGTCAATGTGGGGTCTTTGGGGTTCAGGAGGGGTCATTGGGGTCAATGTGGGGTCATTGGGGTCAAGGAGGGGTCATTGGGGTCAAGGAGGTGTCACTGGGGTCATGGAGGGGTCCCTGGGGTCAATGTGGGGTCAGTATGGGGTCACGGAGGGGTCAATGTGGGGTCAGTGGGGTCAAGGAGGTGTCACTGGGGTCATGGAGGGGTCCCTGGGGTCAATGTGGGGTCAGTGGGGTCAGTATGGGGTCACGGAGGGGTCAATGTGGGGTCAGTGGGTCAAGGAGGGGTCATTGGGGTCAATGTGGGCTCTTTGGGGTCAATGAAGGGTTAGTGGGGTCAATGTGGGGTCACGGAGGGGTCAATGTGGGTTCAGTGGGTCAATGTGGGGTCAGTGGGGTCAATGTGGGGTCAGTGGGTCAATGTGGGGTCACGGAGGGGTCAATGTGGGGTCAGTGGGTCAATGTGAGGTCACGGAGGGGTCAATGTGGGGTCCCTGGGGTCAATGTGGGGTCACAGAGGGGTCAATGTGGGTTCCCTGGGGTCAATGTGGGGTCAGTGGGTCAATGTGGTGTCAGTGGGTCAATGTAGGGTCAGTGGGGTCAATGTGGGGTCACAGAGGGGTCAATGTGGGGTCAGTGGGGTCAATGTGTGGTCACAGAGGGGTCAATGTGGGGTCATGGAGGGGTCAATGTGGGGTCCCTGGGGTCAATGTGGGGTCAGTGGGTCAAGGAGGGGTCACTGGGGTCATGGAGGGGTCCCTGGGGTCAATGTGGGGTCAGTGGGGTCAATGTGGGGTCACAGAGGGGTCAATGTAGGGTCAGTGGGTCAATGTGGGGTCAGTGGGTCAATGTGGGGTCACGGAGGGGTCAATGTGGGGTCACAGAGGGGTCAATGTGAGGTCACGGATGGGTCAATGTGGGGTCATGGAGGGGTCAATGTGGGGTCAGTGGGTCAATGTGGGGTCAGTGGGGTCAATGTGAGGTCATTGGGGTCAATGTGGGGTCACAGAGGGGTCAATGTGGGGTCAGTGGGTCAATGTGGGGGCACGGAGGGGTCGATGTGGGTTCAGTGGGTCAATGTGGGGTCAGTGGGTCAATGTGGGGTCACTGGGGTCATGGAGGGGTCCCTGGGGTCAATATGGGGTCACTGGGGTCATGGAGGGGTCCCTGGGTTCAATGTGGGGTCAGTGGGTCAATGTGGGGTCACGGAGGGGTCAATGTGGGGTCAGTGGGTCAATGTGGGGTCACGGAGGGGTCAATGTGGGGTCAGTGGGTCAATGTGGGGTCACAGAGGGGTCAATGTGGGGTCAGTGGGTCAATGTGAGGTCACGGAGGGGTCAATGTGGGGTCACAGAGGGGTCAATGTGGGGTCAGTGGGTCAGTGTGGGGTCCCTGCGGGGTCAATGTGGGGTCAGTGGGTCAATGTGGGGTCACGGAGGGGTCAATGTGGGGTCAGTGGGTCAATGTGGGGTCAGTGGGTCAGTGTGGGGTCACGGAGGGGTCAATGTGGGGTCAGTGGGTCAATGTGGGGTCAGTGGGGTCAATGTGGGGTCAGTGGGTCAATGTGGGGTCAGTGGGGTCAATGTGGGGTCACAGAGGGATCAATGTGGGGTTAGTGGGGGCAATGTGGGGTCACGGAGGGGTCAATGTGGGGTCAGTGGGTCAATGTGGGGTCACGGAGGGATCAATGTGGGGTCAGTGGGTCAATGTGGGGTCACGGAGGGGTCAATGTGGGGTCAGTGGGTCAATGTGGGGTCACGGAGGGGTCAATGTGGGGTCAGTGGGTCAATGTGGGGTCACAAGAGGGGTCAATGTGGGGTCAGTGGGTCAATGTGGGGTCACGGAGGGGTCAATGAGGGGTCAGTGGGTCAATGTGCGGTCACGGAGGGGTCAATGAGGGTTCAGTGGGTCAATGTGGGGTCAGTGGGTCAATGTGGGGTCACAGAGGGGTCAATGTGGGGTCACGGAGGGGTCAGTGTGGGGTCAGTGGGTCAATGTGGGGTCCCTGCCCCCCCCAGGCGGCCGAGCTGCAGGTGGAGCTGGCGGAGGGGGCACCGGCCCCGCCTGGGGGCGCCCCGGGCCCCTTCGGCCGCAGCTTCACCCCCCACATGCTGTGGGTCGAGTGGAGCCGGGCCCGGGGCTGGGCCCCCCCCCGCATCCGGCCCCTGCGGGACCTGAACCTGCACCCGGCGGCCTGCGGGCTGCACTACGGCATCGCGGTGAGAGCACGGGGAGAGCCGCAGGGACCACAGAGACCCGGAGAGACCCAGAGAGACACATAGAGACCCATAGAGACCCATAGAGACCCATAGAGACACATAGAGACACATAGAGACACATAGAGACACATAGAGACCCATAGGGACACATAGAGACACATAGAGACCCATAGAGACACATAGAGACACATAGAGACACATAGAGACACATAGAGACACATAGAGACCCATAGGGACCCATAGAGACCCATAGAGACCCATAGAGACACATAGAGACACATAGAGACACATAGAGACACATAGAGACCCATAGAGACCCATAGAGACACATAGAGACCCATAGAGACACATAGAGACCCATAGAGACCCATAGAGACCCATAGAGACACATAGAGACACATAGGGACCCATAGAGACCCATAGAGACCCATAGAGACACACAGAGACCCATAGAGACACATAGAGACCCATAGAGACACATAGAGACACATAGAGACACATAGAGACACATAGAGACACATAGAGACCCATAGAGACACATAGAGACACATAGAGACACATAGAGACCCATAGAGACACATAGAGACACATAGGGACCCATAGAGACCCATAGAGACCCATAGAGACCCATAGAGACCCATAGAGACACATAGAGACCCATAGAGACACATAGAGACACATAGAGACACATAGAGACCCATAGAGACCCATAGAGACACATAGAGACACATAGAGACACATAGAGACACATAGAGACACATAGAGACACATAGAGACACATAGAGACCCAGAGATTCCCATAGAAACACATAGAGATCCATAGAGACCCATAGAGACCCATAGAGACCCAGAGAGACCCAGAGAGACCCATAGAGACCATAGAGAGACCCATAGAGACCCAGAGAGACCAGAGAGACCCAGAGAGAGACCCATAGAGACACATAGAGAGACCAGAGAGACCCATAGAGACCCATAGAGACCCATAGAGACCATAAAGAGACCCATAGAAATCCATAGAGAGACCAGAGAGACCACAAAGACCCATAGAGACCACAGAGAGAGACCCAGAGAGATCCATAGAGACCCAGAGAGAGACCCATAGAGACTCATAGAGACCCATAGAGACCCATAGAGAGACCAGAGAAACCCATAGAGAGACCATAGGGACCCATAGAGAGACCAGAGATACCCAGAGACCCATAGAGACCCATAGAGACCATAGAGAGACCATAGAGACCCATAGAGAGACCCATAGAGACCATACAGACCATAGAGACCAGCCTATGGGGCTAACCCCACATAGCCCCCATAGACACTTTATAGACACGCCATAGTCCCCATTGACCCCCGTAGACCCAATGTAGCCCTTACACCCTATAGACCCCATAGTCCCCCTTAAACCCATTGACCCCATAGAACCCATAGATCCCCATAGACTCCACAGACCCCATGGACACCATAGACCCTCATAGACCCCATAGACCTCCATAGACCCCCAGACCCCCGTAGACCCCCTAGATCCCCATAGACCCTCACAGAACCCATGGACGCCATAGATTCATAAATCCCATAGACTGCATGAACCCCGTAGACCCCATAGCCCCCATAGACCCCCAAACACCCCCTACCCCCCATAGCCCCATACCCCCCATAGACCCCCATACCCCCCATAGCCCCATACAACCCAAACACCCCATAGCCCCATACCCCCCATAGCCCCCATAGTCCCACAGACCCCCAAACACCCCATACCCCCCATAGGCCCCATAGCCCCCCAAACACCCCATAGCCCCATACCCCCCACAGCCCCCATAGCCCCCCATAGACCCCCATAGCCCCATAGCCCCCACAGCCCCATAGACCCCCACAGCCCCCATAGCCCCATACCCCCCATAGCCCCACACCCCCCATAGACCCGCCATACCCCCATACCCCCCAAACACCACATAGCCCCCACAGCCCCATATCCCCCAAACACCCCATAGCCCCATACCCACCACAGCCCCACACCCCCCATAGCCCCATACCCTCATAGCCCCACACCCCCCATATCCCCCAAACACCCCATACCCCCCAAACACCCCATAGCCCCATACCCCCCACAGCCCCACACCCCCCATAGCCCCATACCCCCCAAACAACCCATACCCCCCATAGCCCCACACCCCCCATATCCCCCAAACACCCCATATCCCCCAAACACCCCATAGCCCCACACCCCCCACAGCCCCACACCCCCCACATCCCCATACACCCCAAACAACCCATACCCCCCATAGCCCCCATATCCCCCACAGCCCCATACCCCCCATAGCCCCACACCCCCCATAGCCCCCAAAAACCCCATACCCCCCATAGCCCCACAGACCCCGAAACACCCCATAGCCCACACAGCCCCATAGCCCCCACTGACCCCCCCCGTGCCCCCCAGCTCTTCGAGGGGCTCAAGGCTTTCCATGGGGCCGACGGCCGCGTGCGCCTCTTCCGCCCGGAGCTGCACCTGGAGCGCATGGAGCGCTCGGCCCGGCGCCTCTGCCTGCCCGTGCGTGACCTCTGACCCCTGACCCCCCCCACACCTGACCTCTGACCCCCCCCTCCACCTGACCCCCCTGACACCTGACCCCCTGCTCCACCTGACCCCTGACCCCCCCCTCCACCTGACCCCTGACCCCCCTCCACCTGACCCCTGACACCTCACCCCCCCCTCCACCTGACCCCCCCTCCACCTGACCCCTGACCCCCCCTCCACCTGACCCCTGACCTCCCTGACACCTGACCCCTGACCCCCCCTGACACCTGACTCCCCCTCCACTTGACCCCTGACCCCCCCCCACCTAACCCCTGACACATGAACCCCCCCACCTGACCCCCGACCCCCCTCACGTGACCCCCCTCACCTGACCCCTGACACCTGAACCCCCTCACCTGACCCCCCCACCTGACCCCTGACCCCCCCGACCCCTGACACGTGATCTCCACCTAACACCTGACACATGAACCCCCCCACCTGACCCCCGACCCCCCTCACGTGACCCTCCTCACCTGACACCTGAACCCCCTCACCTGACCCCCCCCACCTGACCTCTGACCCCCCTCACCTGACCCCCGACCCCCCTCACGTGACCCCCCTCACCTGACCCCTGACACCTGAACCCCCTCACCTGACCTCTGACCCCCCCTTACCTGACCCCTGACACGTGACCCCCCCACCTGACCCCTGACCCCCCACCTGACCCCTGACCCCCCCCGACCCCTGACACGTGAACCCCCCCACCTGACCCCCCCACGTGACCCCCACACACACCTGACCCCTCACCTGACCCTTCCTCTCCCCAAACCTCACCCCTGCCCCTCCCCCAATTGCTCCTTGACCCTCACGTGACCTTTGACCCTTGAGTGGCCCCTGCCCCCCCACATGACCCCCACCTGCCCTTTGACCCTCAAGTGACCCCTGCCCCACAAGTGACCCTCACGTGCCTCCTGCCCCCCAAGTGCCCTCCACGTGCCCCCTGCCCCCTAAGTGACCCTCAAGTGCCTCCTGCCCCCTAAGTGAGCCCCACGTGCTCCCTGCTCCCTACATGCCCCCTGCCCCCCAAGTGACCCTCAAGTGCCTCCTGCCCCCCACATGTTCCCCATGTGCCCCCTGCCCCCCAAGTGCCCCCTGCCCCCCAAGTGAGCCCTGCTTGCCCTGTGCCCCCTCACGTGCCCCCTGCACCCCACGTGCCCCCCATGTGCACCCTGTCCACGTACACCCACACGTGCCTCCTGCCCCCCAAGTGCCCCCTGCCCCCCAAGTGCCCTCTGACCCCCCAAGTGACCCTCAAGTGCCCCCTGCCCCCCACGTGCCCGCCAAGTGCCTCCTGCCCCCCAAGTGCCTCCTGCCCCCCAAGTGCCCCCTGCCCCCCAAGTGACCCTCAAGTGCATCCTGCCCCCCAAGTGCCCCCTGCCCCCCAAGTGCCCTCTGACCCCCTCAAGTGACCCTCAAGTGCCCCCTGCCCCCCAAGTGCCCCCTGCCCCCCACGTGCCCCCCAAGTGCCCCCTGCCCCCCAAGTGCCCTCTGACCCCCCAAGTGACCCTCAAGTGCCCCCTGCCCCCCAAGTGCCCCCTGCCCCCCAAGTGCCCCTGCCCCCCATGGGCCTGTCAAGTGCCCCCTGCCCCCCAAGTGCCCTCTGACCCCCCAAGTGACCCTCAAGTGCCCCCTGCCCCCCAAGTGCCCCCTGCCCCCCAAGTGCCCTCTGACCCCTCAAGTGACCCTCAAGTGCCTCCTGCCCCCCCGAGCCCCCCAAGTGGCCCCCTGCCCCCCAAGTGCCCCCTGCCCCCCACGTGCACCCCAACTGCCCCTTGCCCCCCAAGTGCCCTCTGACCCCCCAAGTGACCCTCAAGTGCTTCCTGCCCCCCAAGTGCCCCCTGCCCCCCAAATGCCCCCTGACCCCCAAGTGCCCTCTGACCCCCCAAGTGCCCTCTGACCCCCCAAGTGACCCTCAAGTGCCCCCTGCCCCCCAAGTGCCCCCTGCCCCCCCGCAGGCCTTTGACCGGGGGGAGCTCCTGGAGTGCATCCGGGCGCTCGTGCGGGTCGAGCGCGAGTGGGTCCCGCGGGGGGGCGGCGCCAGCCTCTACATCCGGCCCGTGATGCTGGGAACAGAGGTGGGGGGGGGCCGTGGGGCGGGGATGTGGGGCGGGGATATGGGGGGTGATGGGGGCCATGGGGCAGGGCTATGGGGCAGGGTTATGGGGGTGATGGGGGCCATGGGGTGGGGATGTGGGGCGGGGATATGGGGGATGATGGGGGCCATGGGGCAGGGCTGGGGGGGGCTATGGGGGGTGATGGGGGCCATGGGGCGGGGATGTGGGGGGTCTATGGGGGGTTATGGGGGCCATGGGGCAGGGCTATGGGGGGGGCTATGGGGGGTGATGGGGGCCATGGGGTAGGGCTATGGGGTGGGGTTATGGGGGTGATGGGGGCCATGGGGCAGGGCTGTGGGGGGGGTTATGGGGGGTGATGGGGGCCATGGGGCAGGGCTATGGGGGGGTCTATGGGGGGTTATGGGGGCCATGGGGCAGGGCTATGGGGCAGGGTTATGGGGGGTGATGGGGGCCATGGGGCAGGGCTATGGGGCAGGGTTATGGGGGTGATGGGGACCATGTGGTGGGGATGTGGGGCAGGGTTATGGGGGGTGATGGGGGCCATGAGGCAGGGCTATGGGGGGGCTATGGGGGGTGATGGGGGCCGTGGGGCGGGGATGTGGGGCGGGGCTATGGGGGGTGATGGGGGCCATGGGGCAGGGCTATGGGGCAGGGTTATGGGGATGATGTGGGCCATGGGGCAGGGCTATGGGGGGGCTATGGGGGTGATGGGGGCCATGGGGCAGGGCTATGGGGGGGCTATGGGGGGTGATGGGGGCCGTGGGGCGGGGATGTGGGGCGGGGCTATGGGGGGTGATGGGGGCCATGGGGCAGGGCTATGGGGCAGGGTTATGGGGGGTGATGGGGGCCGTGGGGCGGGGATGTGGGGTGGGGTTATGGGGGGTGATGGGGGCCATGGGGCAGGGCTATGGGGGGGGCTATGGGGGGTGATGGGGGCCATGGGGCAGGGCTGTGGGGCAGGGTTATGGGGGATGATGGGGGCCATGGGGCAGGGCTATGGGGCAGGGTTATGGGGGTGATGGGGGCCATGGGGTGGGGATGTGGGGCGGGGATATGGGGGATGATGGGGGCCATGGGGCAGGGCTATGGGGGGGCTATGGGGGGTGATGGGGGCCATGGGGCGGGGATGTGGGGGGGCTATGGGGGTGATGGGGGCCATGGAGCAGGGTTATGGGGGGTTATGGGACTCTATGGGGGACTATGGGGCAGGGCTATGTGGGGTTATGGGGGGGTATGGAGAAGGGCTATGGAGGGGATATGAGGTCCATGGGGTCAGGGTTATGGAGGGTTATGGGGTCCGTGTGTGTGTGTGTGTGTATGTATGTACATGTATGTACATGTATGTATGTACGTGTATGTATGTACATGTATGTACATGTGTGTATGTATGTACATGTATGTACATGTATGTATGTATGTATGTGTATGTATGTACATGTATGTACATGTGTGTATGTATGTACATGTATGTACATGTATGTATGTAAGCACATGTATTTACATGTATGTATGTATGTACATGTATGTACATGTAAGTACATGTATGTATGTAAGTACATGTAAGTGTATGTATGTACATGTAAGTACATGTATGTAAGTACATGTAAGTACATGTATGTATGTATGTAAGTCCATGTATGTACATGTATGTAAGCACACGTATTTACATGTATGTATGTAAGTACACGTATGTACATGTATGTACATGTATGTATGTAAGTTCATGTAAGTACATGTATGTACATGTATGTATGTAAGTACATGTATGTACATGTATGTATGTACATGTATGTATGTATGTATGTACACGTATTGCATGTATGTATGTAAGTACCCGTATGTACATGTATGTATGTAAGCACATGTATGTACATGTATGTATGTAAGCACATGTATGTACATGTATGTATGTACATGTATGTACATGTAAGTCCATGTATGTACACGTATGTATGTAAGTACACATATGTACATGTATGTATGTAAGTACATCTATGTACACGTATGTACATGTATGTATGTAAGTACATGTAAGTACACGTATGTACATGTATGTACGTGTATGTATGTAAGTACACGTATGTACATGTATGCATGTAAGCACACGTATGTACATGTATGTATGTACATGTATGTACATGTATGTATGTAAGCACATGTAAGTACATGTATGTACATGTATGTATGTATGCACATGTATGTACATGTATGTATGTATGTACATGTATGTCCATGTAAGCACACGTATGTACATGTATGTATGTAAGCACATGTATGTACATGTATGTATGTAGGTACATGTATGTACATGTATGTATGTAAGTCCATGTATGTACATGTATGTATGTAAGTACACGTATGTATGTAAGCACATGTATGTACATGTATGTACATGTATGTATGTAAGTACACGTATGTATGTAAGCACATGTATGTACATGTATGTACATGTATGTATGTAAGTCCATGTATGTACATGTATGTATGTAAGCACATGTATGTATGTATGTCCATGTATGTCCATGTAAGCACATGTATGTACATGTATGTATGTAAGCACATGTATGTACATGTATGTACATGTATGTATGTAAGTCCATGTATGTACATGTATGTATGTAAGCACATGTATGTATGTATGTCCATGTATGTCCATGTAAGCACATGTATGTACATGTATGTATGTAAGTACACGTATGTACATGTATGTATGTAAGTACATGTATGTACATGTATGTACATGTGTGTATGTAAGCACATGTATGTATGTATGTACATGTATGCACACGTGTCTCTCTCTCTCTGTCCCCCCCCCCGGTTCCGGCTGTTCCATGTGGCGGCGGCGCCCCCCGCAGGCGGCGCTGGGGGTTTCCCCTCCCGCGCAGGCGCTGTTGTTCGCCGTGCTCAGCCCCGCCGGGCCCTACTTTGGGGGGGGGGCGCTGAGCCCCGTGCGGCTCCTGGCGGACCCCGGGCACTGCCGGGCGTGGCCGGGGGGGGCGGGGAACTGCAAGGTGGCGGGGTGAGCGTGGGAACGGGGGGGGGAGGGGGGGGGGTGGGGGGGGTGAATGGGGGGTGGGTGAATGGGGGGGGGCAATGGGGGGTGTGTGAATTGGGGGGATGAATGGGGGGGTTGAATGGGGGGGAATGAATGGGGGGGAATGAATGGGAGGTGGGTGAATGGGGGGGTGGGGGGGTGAATGGGGGGGAATGAATGGGGGGGAATGAATGGGGGTGGGTGAATGGGGGGGTGAATGGGGGGGGAATGAATGGGGGTGGGTGAATGGGGGGGGAATGAATGGGGGGTGGGAATGGGGGGGTGGGGGTGTGAATGGGGGGGGAATGAATGGGGGGTGGGAATGGGGGGGTGGGGGGGTGAATGGGGGGGAATGAATGGGGGGTGGGTGAATGGGGGGGGAATGAATGGGGGGGAGTGAATGGGGGGGTGAATGGGGGGGAATGAATGGGGGGTGTGTGAATGGGGGGGTGTGAATGGGGGGTGTGAATGGGGGGGTGTGAATCGGGGTGTGAATGGGGGGGGAATGAATGGGGGGTGGGTGAATGGGGGGGTGAATGGGGTGGGTGAATGGGGGGGAATGAATTGGGGGGGTGTGAATGGGGGGGTCAATGGGGGGTGTGAATGGGGGGGGAATGAATGGGGGGTGTGTGAATGGGGGGGGTGAATTGGGGGGGAATGAAGGGGGGGTGGGTGAGTGAATGGGGGGAGTGAATGGGGGGGTGAATGGGGGGGGAATGAATGGGGGTGTGTGAATGGGGGTGTGTGAATGGGGGGGGAATGAATGGGGGATGGGTGAATGGGGGGGTGAATGGGGGGGAATGAATGGGGGGTGTGTGAATGGGGGGGTGTGAATGGGGGGGGAATGAATGGGGGATGGGTGAATGGGGGGGTGAATGGGGGGGATGAATGGGGGGTGGGGGAATGGGGGGGTGAATGGGGGGGAATGAATGGGGGATGGGTGAATGGGGGGGTGAATGGGGGGGGAATGAATGGGGGGTGGGGGAATGGGGGGGTGAATGGGGGGGAATGAATGG